TATCTATCTATCTATCTATCTATCTATCTATCTATCTATCTATCTATCTATCTGTCTGTCTGTCTGTCTCTCTGTCTATCTATCTATCTATCTTTCTATCTTTCTATCTATCTATATCTATATATATGTGCATATAATTTTTTCCCCTCCAACTACTCTAATACTGACAAAGGTCTCATGAGTTACAAATATCATCTTTCCCTGCAGGAATGTAAAAAGTTCAACCTTAACAAGTCTCCTAAGATTTTCTCTTTGCTATTTACCTCTTCATGTTCCACTTGAGTCTTGTACTGGAAAATCAGATTTTCTATTCAGCTCTGGTCTTTTCATCAAGAAGTGTAGAAAGTCCTCCATTTCACTGAATGACCATTTTTCCCCTGCAGGATTATACTCAGTTTTGCTGGGTAGGTGATTCGTGGTTGTAATCCTATCTCCTTTGCCCTCTGGAATATTATATTCCATTCCCTGCGGTCCCTTAATGTAGAAGCAGCTAAATCTTGTGTTATCCTGATTGTGGTTTCCACAACACTTGAATTGTTTCTTTCTGGCTGCTTGTAATATTTTCTCCTTGACCTGGGAACTCTAGAATTTGGCTACAATATACCTAGGAGTTTTCCTTTGTGGATCTCTTTCAAGCGGTGATCAGTGGATTCTTTCAATTTCTGGTCCTAAAATATCAGGGCAGTTTTCCTTGATAATTTATTGAAAGATGATGTCTAGGCTCTTTTTTTGATCATGGCTTTCAGATAGTCCAATAATTTTTAAATTCTCTCTCTTCCATCTATTTTCCAGGTCAGTTGTTTTTCCAATGAGATATTTCACATTATTTTCTAATTTTTCATTCTTTTGCATTTGTTTTACAATGTCTTGATTTCTCATAAAGTCACTAGCTTCCAATTGCTCTATTCTAATTTTTAAGGAAGTATTTTCTTCAGTAATCTTTTGGACTTCCTTTACCATTTGGCCAATTTTGTTTTTTAGGGCATTCTTCTCCTCATTGGCTTTTTGGACCTTTTTTGCCATTTGGGTTAGGCTATTTTTAAGGTGTTATTTTCTTCAGTATTTTTTTGGGTCTCCTTTAGCAAGCTGTTGACTTGTTTTTCATGATTTTCTTGCAAAACTCTCAGTTTTTCCTCTACTTCTCTTACTTGCTTCTCAAAATCCCTTTTGAGCTCTTCCAAGGCCTGGGACTGATTCATATTCTTCTTGGAGGCTTTGGATGTAGGAGCTTTGGCTTCATTGTCTTTTTCTGGTTGTATGTTCTGATCTTCTTTGTCACCAAAGTAAGATAATATAGTCTGACCCTTTTTGTGCTGCTTACTCATGATCCTGGCCAATTACTTGAGTTTTAAACTCTTTGTTAAGGTAAAAGTCTGCTTCCAATGTGGAGAATATACTGTCCCAAGCTTCGGGGGTTTGTACAGCTGTTTTCAGAGATACTTCTAGGGACTTGAAAACTTTCAGTTCTTCCAAGGTGCTATGATAAGGGGCGAGGTGTTTTCTTTCTACCACCAAAAGAAGCTTCATCACACCAGCATTCCTCCTCACCCCTGGACTGCCCCTCAGAACTGTGACCCAGATCCAAGCACTGACAAAGCAAGAGATTCCTGCCTCAGCACTGGCAAAGAGATCCCTGAAATCCCTCTCTGATCAGCCACTTGATTCCCTCTCAGTCTGTGGACTGGAAGCTCAGGAACCAGCTGCAGCCCTTAGGGGGGCTGAGACCTAGCTCCTTCTCTCACCATAGTCACAGATTTTTCCCATTGACGTTACATGTTGTCTTTGGCGTTCCTGGGTTGAGAAGTCTGGAAACCGCCACAGTTGCCTGCGATTCAGTCCTCTGAGGCCTGCTCCTTGGTTGCTGCCGACTGGGTGCCCACACCAAACTGTGCTCCTCTCCCCACCTGGTGCGATATACCTGTCCGATCAAACATCCAGGCTGTCTTTGGCTGCAAATTTTTTTCTCTCTGTCTTTTTGTGGGTTCTGCTGCTTTAGAATTTGTTTAGAGCCATTTTTATAGGTATTTGGAGGGGTTTGGGGGGAGAGCTCAAGCAAGTCACTGCTTTCCTTCTGCCATCTTGGCTCTGCCCCCCTCAATCAATGACATCTTGAAAGAGTTATTTAGGTCCCTCAGGACATGGCCAAGGTGCTGATGTATGTGAAACAGATGTTTGGACACCAGCCTGAGTATTAGGAGTGCAACAATATGGGAGGATAGTAGTGGTTAGACATAGGATTAGGGTAAATTCCATGAGATTAAAAATGGTCAAGAACCCTGACCTGATTTAGGATGAAGAAGATGATGAGACTGGGCAGCCTAAGAGGAATGGACACTCATCCCTCCTCCCCTGTCCTTTTTATATTATTTAGCTCTTCAATGTATTTCCTTGGATAATGAAATTCCTACCAGGACCTCACCAGAAATTCTTTAGAGAATGGAAGAAGCTAGAGTCATTTGTAAAATGTGTGATCAAACAACATAAGGAAGACCTGAACCCAGAGGAGACCTTGGACTTCATTGATGCTTACCTGAAGGAGCTGTCCAAGGTAATGTAGATAACACAGAAATTGGGCATTGTGTGTTTAAAACCAAAAAAAAAGTGCAGAGTTGGGGGGATAAGTGTGTTAAAATGTTCCAAACTTTACATCTGCCTCATAATGTAAATATCTTCCCTCAATGACCACCCTGGGAGGTAAAGAGTATAAGTAACAGAGCTTGCTAGTGAAAAACTCACTATTTTTATTTAGAATCGGAAGGTACTATAGGGCTCATTGAGTTCAACTCCCTGATTTTATATGAGGGGAAACTGAGGCACAGAGAGGTTAATTGATTTGCTCCAATCACACAGCTATTAAGAATCTGAGGCTGGATTTGAACCCTGCTCTTTCTGTCTCCAAGTACAATGTCCTTTTCATTAGAATCTAATCTGATTGGGATTTTCTTGGCCTTGATATGTCATCCCAATGAATTCATCTCTCTGCACCTCACTTTTCACATACATAAAATCAAGATGTTCTATCTACCTCTTATCCTATCCAGAATTACTGTGTGTTTATTCACAATAAAAATAAATTAAATTATCAATTTCATATATGCAATCAAAATACAACAATCTTTGTTAGTATTTACAATAGTCAAACATGTGGGCAGCATTGTAGCCCAAGTCACTTCTGAGTAGTGGAGAATCAGATTAAAATGTATTTTAGACACATTTAACAAAGTAAATAAAAATACATGAGAACATAGATAATGTGAGTCAATATGTAGTTCCCAGGGATCTTACATATGGTTTAGTGGTTCCATTTCATTTTGAGCTTGACACCATTGGAATGCCTTTCCAACTTCAAGATTTTGTGATTATGTCCTGTATAGTTCAAGAATACTGGACCTCTATTTGAGTTCCACGTCCTGAATTCATCAGCCAAGTTTACCTAAAAACAACTAATTTCCCTAAGTCTCAGTATCTTCATTTGAAAAATGTGTACAATATTATTGACACTACCTACCTCACAGGATTATAGAAAAGTAGCTGATAAATTGCAAAGTATTTTGATACTATTGGTTTTCTTTTTATTATAAGAATGAATCAATGGAGTAAAATAACTATTCTTATCTAGAAAAATAAAAATGCTAAGAAATGACAATAAAACTACTGCTTAGATGCATATGATACTTCAAGTCATACAAAATGTTGTTTTTTTTTTTTCCCCTCCAAGCAATGCCATGAGATAGCTAGCACAGGTATTATTTCCATTTCACAGATGAAGAAATTGAAACCTAAAGAGATGGAAGGATTTGCCCCAACAATCATGGAGCATGGAAATATGAATCCTGCTCTTTTGCCTTAGTGCTCTATTTTAAGAGTATGAAATAGGTGAAGGATGAATCTAGAACTAGAGAAATGTCATCTAGGCAATCACATTACACATGCGTACAGCACTGGACTTGGAGTCAGAAACACTTGAGTTCAAATCTGATCTCAGACACTAGCTTTGTGATGCAGAGAAAGTCACTAAAATTTCTAGTTGCCTCAGTTTCCTCAACTGTAAAATGAAGATACTACTACTTTCTATCTCATGGGGTTGTTGTGTGGATCAAATGAAAATATATTTGTGAAACCCTTATCACAGTGTTTGGTACATGGTAGGTGCTATAGTGTAATGCTAGCTATTATTCTTCTCCATTTTACAACCAGCTTTATTCCTTCTAGAAGAAGAAATACCAGCAGCTACTAACAGGCATATGGATAATTCTGTGGTAGAGGGATAATAAAAATAATGGGAATGATAATAAGGATAAGGAAGAGAAAAACAAGGGAAAGGAGGTGAAGAGGAGGGGGAAGATGAGAAAGAATGAAAGAAACAAAGTAAAGGAGAAAGAGAGAAAAGGAGAAGAAAAAAGAGAAAGAAGATGAGGAGGAGAAAGAATTCAATGCAAATAAATACAGATGCCAATTCAATGCAAACTTTTATGGTTCTAGCTTTCTATGCACCTCTACCCAGCACATATCCTGGTTAGATGATAGAAAAATCCCTTGTCCTCATAATGACCTTCTAAATAGCTGACCCCCATGCTCATTCATTTTTGAGTGTGATACTGGGTGGAGGAAGTTGGAAAGGTGGGGTATATGCACACAGGGCCAAGCAGTGGCATGATGTAGCAAAGAGTGGTAGGTTTTGGTCAGGGTCCAGGATTCATGGGCCAATTCTGTCATTTATTATCACTGAGACTCTCAGCAATTCACCCAATGGTCTCTGAGCTCCAGTTTTCTCACCTATAAAACACAGATCCTATTTACCTGCAAGGTTTTGGTGAGAAAAGTACTCACAGTAAGTCTCTCAACTCAATAAAAATAGGGTCTCTCACAGGTGGAACCAAGATGGTGGAGAAAAGACAGGAAGCTGCCTAAACTCTCCCTAGTTTCCCTAGAAACTTTATATCAAGCTACAAAATGAATTCTGGAGCAACAGAATCCACAAAAGGAAGTGTTAAAGCAACTTTCCAAGCCAAAATTACTTAGAAAGATTGCAGGACAAGTCTGTCCCACTTGGGTAAAATGGGAGCACAGCCCAGTGCAGGCAGTATTAGGGCAAGCCAGTGGGATGTCCTGGCCCTGGAACAGTTCAGCAGCCCAGCTCAGCAGATTAGTGGCACAGCAGACAAGATGTGAGGCCTGTAGCCAAAATGCAACAGGAGAGCTTGCAGCCCTCAAAGTCAAGTGCAATAGGTATTAATAGACCAAGTGATTTTAGCACAACAGCTGACAGCCCCAGAGTGAACCTCCACAGCAAGCCACCAACCAGGCCTCTGGCCTCTAGCACAAGAAGCTTGAAAAAGCACCCCCTGTGCCCCAGAACAAGAACTCAACTTTAAATAGTCACAATATAGGCTGTAAATGAGAAACAAAACAAAACAAAACAACAAATGTCTGACTATAGAAGGAGACAATGGCTAGAGCGAAGATCAAAACACAAACTCGGAACAGGATGACAATGTCAAAATGCTGAGAAGTAAAGAAACAAATCTAGTTTTGAAGAGTCACAGTCATTTTTATACAGATTTTTAGCAGCTTCTACATTAAAGAGTCAGAGGGCATATAGTATGATATTCTGCAAGGCAAAGGAAACTTGTGTAATAACAAAGAATCAATTACCCAGTAAAACTGAGCATAACCTATCAAAAGAAAATTATGGATTTTCGGTGAAAGAAGGGACTTTCAAACAATCCTGATGAAAAGACAAGAGCAAAACAGAAACATTGATTTTCAAATACAAGATTTAAGAAAAACACAAAAAGGTAAACAAGGAAAAAAGCATGTAATTCAGCAAGGTTAAACTGTTTACATCCCTACATGGGAAGATGATATTTGTAACTCTTAAGAACTCTATCTTTATTAGAGAAGTAAGAAGGAGTATATATTGACAGAAAGTGTGGGTATAAGTTTGCTTTGATGGGATGATGTAAAAAAAAAACCCTAAGGAATAAAAATGGGATTTCACTGGGAGAAGATGGAAGATAGGGGCAGAATGGGGCACATTATATCACATGAAAAAGTGCAGAAGACTGATTACAGTGGAGGGAAAGAAAGGAGGGGGTGAGATTGTTTGAAACTTACTCTCATATAATTTGGATCAAAAAGAGAATAACATACACACTCAGTTGGGTATAGAAATCTATCTTACCCTATAGGGAAATAGGAGGGGAGGGGGACAACCAAAAGGGCTACTGATAGAAGGGGGTCAGATTGAGGAAGGTGGTGGGCAGAAGCAAAACACTTTTGAGGAAGGAAAGGGTGAAAGGGACAGAGAGAAAAATATGAACAGGGGAAAAATAGGATGGAGGGAAATACACAGTAATTATGACTAAATGTGAATAGGATGAACTCTCTCATAAAACAGAAGCAGATAGCAAAATGGATGAAAAACCAGAATCCTGTAATATGCTATTTATAAGAAATACATCTGAAGCATAGGCATACACACATGTAAAAGACTGAAACAGAATATATTTTGCTTCAGCTGAATTAAAAAAAAAAGCAGGAGTAGCAATAATGATCTCAGACAAAGCAAAAAAGATCGAATCAAGAGACAAAGAGAGAAACTACATCTTGCTAAAAGATACCATAGAAAAATGAATTAATATCAATACTAAAAATGTATGTACCAAATGATATAGCATCCCATTTTTTAAAAGGAGAAGTTAAATGAGTTATAAGATGAAATAGACAGTAAAACTATAGTAGTGGAGGACCTCAACTTTCCCCTCTTATAACTAGAAATATCTAACCAAAAAAGAACTTAAGGATCTAAATAGAATTTCAGAAAAGTTAGATATGATATATCTCTGGAGAAAACTGAATGCAGATAGAAAATAATATACATTTTTCTCAGCTCTAAATGACATCTACACAAAAATTGACCATATATTATGGCATGAAAACCTCAAAATCAAATGCAGATTGTAGAAATACTAAATGCATCCTTTTTAGAATGTGACACAATAAAAATTACATTTATTAAAGGGTCTTGGATAGATTAAAAATTAATTGGAAAGTAAATAATTGAATCCTAAAGAATTAATGGGTCAAAGAATAAATCATAGAAACAATCATTAATTTCAACAAAGAAAATGATGATAAGTCAATATACCAAAATTTATAGGATGCAACCAAAGCCGTACTTAGAGGAAAATTTATACCAATAAAGTAGAGGAAGAAAAGATCAATGAATTAGGCATGTAAATAAAAGAGCTAGACAAATAATAGATTTAAGATCTCCAAATAACACCAAACTGAAAATCAAAGGATAAATTAATAAAATTGAAAGTAAGAAAACTAATTACTATAACTAAGGGCTAGTTTTATGAAAAAGAAAATAGACAAAACACTGGTTGATTTGATTTAAAAAAGAAATAAGAAAAACAAATTACTGGTATCAAAAATGAAGAGTGAATTTACCACTTATGATAAAAAAATTAAAACAATAATTATGAGTTATTTGCCTAACTGCATTCCAATAAATCTGACAATCTAAGTGAAATGGATAAATATTTACAAAAATAATTTGCCTAGATTGAAAAATGAAATAAAATTCTTAGGTAACCTCATTTTAGAAAAAAATAAATCGAAAAAATCAATTAACTCTCTAAGGAAAAAAAATCTGCAGCTCCAGATGAATTTACAAGTGAATTCTACCAAAGAACAATTGAAGAATAATTAATTCCAATACCATTTAACTATTTGGGAAAACAGGTGAAGGAGTTCTAGCAAATTATTTTTGTGACACAAATATGGTGCTAATACCTAAACTAAGAAGAGCCAAAACCTAGAAAGAAAACTATAGGCCAATTTTCCTAAAGCATATTGATGCAAAAAATTAGATAAAATACTAGCAAAGAGATTACAGCAATATTTCACAAAGTTCACACACTAGGATCAGGTGGGATCTATACTAGGAATGTAGGGATGGTTCAGTGTTAGGAAAACTGTCAGCATACTTGACCCTATCAATAACAAAACTGACAGAAAGTATATAATTATCTTAGTAAATGCAGAAAAAAGCTCTTGATAAAATCCAACATCAATTTCTGTTAAAAATACTAAAAAGTGTAGGAATTAATGGAGCTTTCCTTAAAATGATAAGTAGTATTTATCCAAAACCAGTACCAAGATATGGTCAAAATGGGTCCATGATTTAGACAAAAAGGGTGATACCATAAGCAAATTAGGAGATCAAGCAACAGTTTACCTGTCAGATCTATAGAGAAGGGAAGAATTTATGACCAAACAGGAAATAGCATTATGAGATGAAAAATGGGTAATTTTGATTATATTAAATTAAAAAGGTTTTGCACAAACAAAATCAATGCAACCAAGATTAGAAGGAAAGCAGAAAGTGTGGAAACAATTTTTACAGTGAATGTCTCTGATAAAGACCTTGTTGCTCAAATACATAGAGAACTGAGAAAAATTAATAAGAATGCAAGTCATTTTACAATTGATGAATGGCAAAGGGATATGAACAAGCAGTTTTCAGATGAAGAAATCAAAGCTATCTATAGTATATGAAAAATGCTCTAAATCACTATTGATTAGAAAAATGCAAATTAAAACAACTCTGAGATACTACATCATACCTGTCAGATTACCTAATATGAAAGAAAAGGTAAGTGATAAATACTGGAGAGGAGGGGGGAAAATTGGGACACTACTGTACTATTGGTGGACTTGTGAACTGATCCAGTCATTCTGGAGAGCAATTTAGAACTATATCCAAACACAATTAATCTGTGTATACCCTTTGATCCAGCAATACCACTAGTAGGTCTATATTCCAAAGAAATTATAAAAAAGGGAAAAGGATGGACTGGTATGAAAATATTTATAGCAGCTCTTTTTACGATGGAAAAGAATTGGAAATTGAGGAGATGTCCCTCAGTCGGGAAATGGCTAAATAAGTTATAGTATATGAATGTAATGGAATTCTATTGTGCTATAAGAAATGACAAGCTGGTGGAATTTGGAAAAGCCTGGAAGGACTTATATGAACTGATGCAAAGTGAAGTGATCAGAACCAGGTGAACATTGTACACAGTATTAGCAATGATGTGTGATTTTTAACTATGATTGACTTAACTCTTCACAGCAATACAATGATCCAAGACAATTACAAAAGACTCATGATGGAAAACGTTTCACATCCAGAGAAAAAACTGATGAAATCTGAATGCAGATAAAGGCATATTATTTTCATTTTCTTTATTTTTTATTTCATGGTTTTCTTCCTTTTGTTCTGTTTCTTCTTTCACAACATGACTAACATGGAATTATGTTTTACGTGAATGCACATATATAATCTATATCAAATTGCTTACCATATTAATGAAGGAGGAGGGGCAGGAGGAAGGGAGAAAATCTGGAGCTCAAAATTTTGTATTGAAAAAGAATGTTTAAAATTGTCATTACAAGTATTTTGGAAAAATAATATTTCAAAGGAGGAAAAATAATATTTCAAAGGAAGAAAAAGAAATCAGAGTTCACATCCTTAGAAAGAGTTACTATATTCTTGGGTGTTAAAGGGAAGCCCAGGATCTGCCACCTTGACCTTCCCAAAGCTCCATTGAGAGTGCAACTCCTCATGCCTGGAGACAGCTATAATTATTTTTTGGATTAACCAACTGATCCTTGCCTTTTTAATTTAAGGACAACATCCATTCTAGTTTTAATGAAGAAAACTTGGTCTTCTGCACCCTGGACCTCTTCTTAGCTGGAACAGAGACAACTTCAACCACTCTGAGGTGGGCACTGCTGTATATGGCCCTTTATCCAGAGATCCAAGGTACAGTGATGGCCCAGGCTATGTACCCCTGTAGAATTCTGCTCAGAAAAGTTCCCATTTATACAGAACTTGAAAGTTTGCCAGGTACTTCACATACATCATCTTCTCTCAGTTCTCATTGGAATAGAGCAGTGATTACCATTTATCACAATCATGACGCCCTCTTTTTAACATCAAAATTTCTTCCAGTTCTCCATATAATAGTAGTTGCTGGCTAGGGCAGTAGAGTATATAATTTGGAGTCAGGGAGATATGAGTTCAAATTCTGCCTCAGGCACTTGCTAAACATGTGACCCTGAGAAAATCACATAATTTTTCTCAGTTTTGAGTCTTTATCTGTAAAATGGAGATAATAATAGTTCTTGCTTCAAGGGTTGTAATGAGGATCAAAGAAGTTAACAAACATAAAGTGCTCTGAAAGCCTTAAAGTGTTACGTAAATACCAGATATTGTTTTAATATTATGAATTATTATTGTAGTGCACTGTAACTATTTTTATTGAGAATGTGTCTGATAACAAAAAAGTAGCATTTTTAAATGTATTTGTACTATATTAAATGTGATAAATCTCCATAGATTTCAAAATAGAAATACTTAAGTGAATGATACATTATTAATTCAATCTATAAAAGGTCCTAATGTTTTTTATATTTGGAATTCGAAGGTATCTTAGAGGTGATAAGCCCCTCATTTTACAGATGTTGAAACTAAGCCTGAGAGAATTATGTGATTTCTTCAGGGCCTCACAGATAGGGAGTTTCTGAGGTGGAATTTAAATGCAGATTATCCTGACTCCAAGCCCAGTGCTCCATCCCCAGAGACTTCTATTTGACTCTCTCTCAAGAGATCTGTGTTCTGAAAGTCAAAGCTTGATCAAAAGTTCTATTTCTTGTCTAGTATACTGTGACATGTCTCATATCTTCCTAAAACAAAAATCAGAATAAGTATCCATGGACTGAATATGGATTTGCAGAACCCTAGTAATAACTACTTAGAAAAATCCACAGCTCTAAGTTTGGAAACCCCTGAACTAGACACTTTTAGATTCCCCTTAAAGTACTACCCAGAATGGAACATCCCTTGTATCTATCTGAGGCAATACCCAAAAGTAGCATTCTTAGCAGCCCTTTAGTATCATGGAAATTAAATCAAGTACTTACTATGTGCCTACTATGTCCCGTTCTCTGAGTACAAAAAATGAAGCAATGCTTCCCTTCTTGCAGGGAACTCAGGGTGACAGAAAACTTAATCAGGAGTCAGAAGTTTGTTTTCTAGTCCAGGCTTCCCATCTAAGTAGTCATGAGACTTTGAGCGAGGCATTTCAGTCAGTAAATGAACGCTTCTTAAGTACCTACTATGTGCCACATAGAGTGCTAAGTATTCCTGCTGTCCTTGTTGCTGTTGTAAGTCCTTCATTCTCAAAGAAGAACATGGCACCAGGAAGGCAAGTTGCATCACTTGCAAGTGAATTGGATTTAAGTGAGGCAGGGCTGTGCAAAGTCACCAGCCTCACTTTCTTCTCCCAAACCATCTGGTCCAGGGGCAAGATATAAATCAGAATGACTGGAGATACACCCCACTCCAACACTACCCCCTAAGTATTAGGAATAAAAAGAAAGGCAAAACAAAAACAACTACAACCAACTAGCCCCGTTGTCATAGTCCATCATTAGACTATGATGACATGCGAACAACTATGGACAAAAGAGATACAGACAGAATAAATAGGCGAAAATCAGCAGAAGTAAGATAGTTCTCTGGTCCTCAGTTTTCATTCAAAAATACCATAGACTTAAGGGTGACATGATGGTGGCCTTCAAGTATTTAAAGGGCTCTTGTGTAAAAGAGGGATTCAACTTAATCCATTTGGCCTTTGTAGGGATAAGTGCTTGCAATGGGTGGAAGTTGCAGGAAGCTTAATTTGGAGTTGAGGTAAAAAAGACCTCTACAAAGTCCTCCTCGAATGCCTCCCTGTGGTGTTAAAGTGACCTTGGATCTCAAAGTCTATGTCAGTGGAATGGATGGCTCTAGCAGGTTCTACCATGATGGAAAGGCAAGCTCCTTGAGGGCACTCCCTTTTGCCTCTTTTTTATATCTACAGGGCTTAGTGCAGTGCCTAGCATATAGCAGGCTCTTAGTAAATGTTCATTAAAGGGAAGTAAAAGGCATAAAACATAGTCCTAAGGGTTGGGACATACATCCTGAAGCTCAGCTTATCCAAGTACCAGGCAGCTCATCCCAGGAGGCTGAACACTGGGAGCTGAATTCCAAGGGCATAGCATCTCTTGACACAAAGAATGATACAAAATGACCCTCAGCCCTCTGCAGTCAGCTCCTGCTTCTACAATGACCATGGCAGAATGGTGGGAAATGGGATAAGTACCACATTGGTGCTAAGAATCATATTGTCAATTAGCTTTAACTTAGATATAAACTACTCTAATACATACATATATATTGCATATTATTACTATACATTATATTTTTATTATATATTATTTATATATTATATATTCAGATATATTATACTTATAAGCTTAATTACAAGTTACTCTCAATGGGTGACCTGACCATTACCCACAAATATACCACTTTCTGAATTCATGAATTCTCAAATTCCCTTATCTGATCTCATTCTATAAATATTCCACCTCTCCCTCTGCCTTCCTCTACTGCCAATCTCTTGACTCCTCAGTTCCCTCCCAGACCATCACCCTTGCACTAGCCACATACTCTTCCTTTCTCCATCTTGATGTCTTATTGAACCAGTTCAATCTACATTTGCCCTATTAAGGTATAATCTGTCTTGCCCTGTCAAGCCTCAGGCTTGCTTCACTTTGACCATCACTGGACTGCACTCTCACTCATGTACTATTAAATGAAGGTAGGGAAAATCACAAAACCAGATTGACTGTGTCCACTACAAATCTGTCTTATGTAATCTCATAATTACTGTTGCAAGGCAATCTTTTCACATGTCCCTAATTAATTAACTGTCCTATTCACTGCAGCAGCTCTTCCAAACCTTCTTATCTCTTCTCAATGGAGCATGGTTCCCTCTCCCCCAACACTTTCTGAGAAACTGGCCTCATATTTTACTGCGAATCCTCAAATACATATGTAAGATATTTTATATTATTTTTCTCCAATTATATGTTAATTTTTTTAACATTTTAGAAAATGTGAGTTTCAAATTTTATCCCTCCTTCCTTCCCCCTTTTCCTTCCTGAGATGTTAAGCAATCAGATACAGTTTTTGCATGTACACTCACATAAAACATTTTCATATTACTCATTTTGTACAAAAAGTTTTGAACAAAAAATTAAGGAAATAAAGTGAAAACTATCATGCTTCAGTCTATACTCAGATAATATCAGATCTTTCCCTGGAGGCACATAGTATGCTTCATCATTAATCCTTTGGGATTTTCTTGGATCATTGTATTGCTGAGAATATCTAAGTCATTCACAGTTATTCATTTTTCAATATTCCTGTAACCGTCCACAACATTCTACTGGTTCTGCTCATTTCACTTTGCATCAGTTCATTTTACTGTAAATCTTGGGGCAATTCACTGTGAGCTCCCTCTTCTCCCCTCCTCCTCCTCATCTCACATCACCAAGATGCCTTCTCCAACTACTGTCTCCCTCACCCCTATCTCACATGAAGAGGTGACCATTCTGCTAGCCAAGGCCAACCCATCCACATGCCCAAGTGATCTCATTCCCTCCCATTTTCTTTAGCACGTTGTTGTCTCTGTCATTCCCACTCTATCCTTCAACTCCAAACACCCCCATCAACTGGTTGCTTCCTTACCACCTAGAAACAAACCCAGTCTCTCCTATCATGAAAAAAAATCACTCTATCCCTCCACAATATTGTCCCATAATGGTTCTCCCTTTTGTGGCTAAACTCCTCGAGAAAGGTCATCTACAAGAGATGTGTCGACTTCCTTTCATCTTGCTCTTATTAATTTTCTAGTGTGTCTTTCAATTTTATCATTCAACTGAAATCAATCTTTTCAAAGTAACTAATGACCTTTTAAAAGTAAAAAAGAATGATCTTTTCTCAGTCTTCATCCACTTTGACGTCTCACATTGCCAATCACTTTTTTCTCTTTGGTACTGTCTTCTCTCTAGATTTTCATGACACCTCTTTCCAAGTCCTCTTCCTGTCTCTCTGGCCACTCAGTCTCCTTTGCTAGACCTTAATGCAGGTCACACGTGCATCCAGGTCACACATATACTTTCCATTGGGCCCCGTACTGAACCTTCACCCTCTATACAACTTCACTTCATGATTTCATCCACTCCTATGGATTCAATTATCACCTCTCTGCTAATAATTTTCAAGTCTATTTGTACAGCCATAAGCTCTTGGCTGACTTCCAGTCTCTCATCTACAACTACCTATTGGAAATATCAAAATGTATGTCTTAGAGACATGTTAAACTTGGTATGTACAAAGCAGAACACATTCTTTCCCCCTAAGCTCTCCTCCTCTCCTACCTTTCTTACTGTAGAGGGATGCACCATCCTGCCAGTTCCTCAGTCTTGAAACCTAGGAGTCATCCTCCACTCATCATTATCTCACCACCCCCACTTAATCTGTTGCCAAGATCTGCTTATTTCCCTTACATCTCTTGAATATGTCTTCTCCTCAGACCCTATCTGCACCCTGGTTCAGGCCTCCATCCCTGTCCATCTGGACTATTTCAATAACCTGTAGTGGATCTGCCTGCCTCAACTCTCTCCCAACTTCAATTCATCTTCCTTTCAATCACCATTCAGTGATTTCCCCCACTCAATAAATTCCAATGTCCCACTATGACCTCCAGGATCAAATAAAACTCTCTGGCTTTCAAAGTCCTTCTTAACAAGTCTTCTCCTATATTCCCAGTCCCTTTACATTTTACTCCTTGAAACATATTCTTTGATTTGTTGCTACTGGCCTCTTGGCTGTCCCACCAACAAGACCCTCCATCTCTTGGCTCTGGGCATTTCTCTGGCTGTCTCTTTTCCTCCTGGCTTTCCTAGTGTGCTTCAAGTCCCAGATGAAAGCTCAACTTCAGCTAAAAGGATTTCCCAATCCACCTCAATCTTAGTGCCTTATCTCTGTGATTATCTCCACCTTATTCTGCATGTACCTTGTTTGCATGTTGTCTCCATCATTAGATCTTGAGCTGCCTGAGGGCAGGGACTTGCCTTTTGCCTTCCTCTGTCTTCTCAGTGTTTAGTATAGGTCCTGAAACATAGTAAGTGCCTATTAAAAGCTTTAGAGGTGACTTGAAATACTTTCTGTCTGCATGATTCATCACAATACTTTGACAGGGTAAGTTCACAGAGAGAGCCAAATTATCTTTCTTCTAAAATGACCATCCTGTTCTTCAAAACTGCCTTCTACATCTGGTTGGCTTGGAAGTCAGAGATCATAGGACACTAAATGTAAAGCTATATAAATAAATATAATATACATAAATAAATTTGAAGAGGTTAGAGACAGTCTAGTCTGACCTGATCATTTTAGAGACAAGGAAAATGGGGCCACAAGGAGTTCAGTGACTTACCCATGTACACTCAGATAGTGAGTGGTAAAGCTGAAATTGGAATCCAGGTCTTCTGTCTCTAACTCTTTTATGCTCTCCATGGTACCACATTCTGAGATGTCTTCCCAACAACACAAACTTCATTATTAGCCATTAATCAGTCAAGTCTCCACATTTCTAGGCCATGGGGATTAGAACCTTTGGCAAAGGGTCAAACCAAACTTTCATCCAACCACAGATGTGGCTGTGGTTTTCCCACATAGTCAGAGAAAACTGGATAGGAGGGGAAAGAAAACCCTGAGTTCAAATTCACCTAGATTTGTGACTCTGAGCAAGTCACTTAAATTATGTCTGCTCATTTTAATCTATAAAATTGGGATAATAATCTCACTGTCCTCCTAGCATTGTTATGAGGATCAAATGAGGTAATATTTGTAAAATGTTTCACAAACTTTAAAGCACTCTATATATGTGAGTTCTTATTTGGGATCTCAAAAAACTCTACCTTTTCTTTGCAGGCAAAATACAAGCTGAGATTGACTGGGTGGTTGGCCAGTCAAGGCAGCCCACCATGGCTGATAAGGAGAATATGCCCTACACTAATGCAGCCATTCATGAAGTTCAGAGAATGGGTAATGTTATTCCTTTCAATGTGCCCAGGGTGGCTACAGTTGATACCACAGTGGCAGGATACTACGTGCCAAAGGTAAATGGCTTTTCTCTCATGAACCTGAAAGGGCTCCATGACTTCCATCTGCCCTGGGGGGAAAGGGTAGAAGAAGGTGAAACAAAAAGCATAGACTGTAGAACAAAGGTTCTTGGTCAAGGGTCCATGACCTTGGGCTTTAAAATACATGTATTTTGGGGGCAGCTAGGTGGTGCAGTGGATAGCATACCATGCCTAGAGTCAGGAAGACCTGAGTTCAAATCCAACCTCTGATACATAACCCTTACTAACTGTGTGACCCTCAGCAAGTCACTTAACCCCAATTCCCTCACCAAAAAAAAGGTGAAGAAACATTGTACTAGAATCTTAAAATCATTTATTCTTACAGTTGTATGAGAAAAAAAAAACACTCTATTTGGAGGCAGAGGGACTGAGTTTCAAACCTAGTTTTAATCCTGTGTTTAAATTCCTTATGTCCACTTGGCTTCCCCATGTGTGACATCCCTCTGAGTGACAGATCAGTGAGCCTCAGTTTATTCATTTGAAATGTAAGAGGGTTTGCCTAGATGATCATTAAATGTCTTTCCATCTGTTCTGGACTCTATAGTCATGTGAGCATAATGGGTGTAGTGTGGACCTTCCCCAATGTCTTCTGGACAAAACAAATCACATTTAGTCAGACAGCAATGGTTTCTCAATCACAGTGGGTAAAGAGACTCAGACAGACACCAAGCACAGAATTCTGAAGGAGTTATTTGCATCCCCCATCCCCTGGAGTGCACTCCTGGGACCTGGCCAGGACAGCTGAATCAACACCCTTTCCTGAGGCCCAGGCTCTAATTCTGGCTGTGCCTTTCAAAGAAGTCACTTTAGGCCTTGGAGCCTAAATGGAACTCATGATTAACAATCATTTTAACAACTCCCAATTTCACAGAGCTCCATCACCTCCAAAGAATTTCCCGTCATATCAATGAACCTTTCTTAATCACCTACTATGTGCCGGGCACTGTGCTAAGTGCTGCTTAGCTTTAAACTTAAGTTTTCTGACCTAAATTTCATTTGTTTTTCATCTACTGAGTTGATCACTATGTAAAAGACCCTGTGAGGAATAGAGAACACAAAAATGAGCAGAGAAATAGGTACCATTTGTTTTGTACTTTCAGGTTTACAAAGCACTTTAGAAATACCTCTCTTGAACGTTACAAGAACTCTAGGAGGGAGATGCTGTTATCACTCCCATTTTATAGATGAGAAAACTGAGACAGGCAGAGGGGAAATGACTTGCCCAAGGTCACACAGTTAGCTAGTGAGTATGGGGTATAGGTGATAGATGAGTCAGGAAGAGAGATAGTTCATGATAGGATGAAGTGATCAAGGATGGCTTCACAGAAGAGGAAGTGAGCAAGCTGAGCTGTGAAGGAGGATGGGTAGGATTTAGAGAGTCCAGAGAGAGAAAGGGAACACTTTAGGGAAGTGGAATGAGTTGGGCTTAAGTGCTAAGGAAGCCTTAGTTTAAGTATGGAGGCAGAGAGACAAATTGGAATAGTGGGGAGAGTAATGAACTTGGAGTCTGGAAGATCAGGGTTCGAATGCTGAGCTGTGTGACCCTGGGCAAGTCACTTAACCCCTTTGTGGAGTTAAATGATGGGGATAGGCTCGAGGTCCCTCCATGGTCAAACACTATGATTCCATCCATTCAAGGAAGCCAAGATTACTCCCAAAATGTATTCTGAAAGCATGTTTGTTCTAGGATCTCCAGGCCCAGAGACAGGGCCACACCTGCTCACTCATACAAAAAGGATAAAAGAAGGCCTGGGCACACCTACTCCACTGCCTTCTTCTCTGCCCCAGCTTTGCCTAGCACTCTAAGCTCCTCCCAGGAGGACAGGTCTTTCTAAACTAGGTTATCTCAACACACCCAGTTGTGGCTTTATAGTTAGACACAAGAGAGCTGCAGGTTACAACTCAACTAAGCCCAGTGCATAGAGAGCTGGAACTGGGGTCAGGAATACCTGGGCTCAAATCCAGCCTCAGATGCTTCCTGTGTGATCCTGGAAAGTCACTTCACCTCAGTTTCCTCGAGCATAAAAATGAGAAGGCTTCTAGCCCTAAATCTATAATCATTTATTTTATCAAACCTGTATCAAAGGTTTTGAATGTGCTCTCTTATCTCCAGTTCTAACATTTCTAATCATCATTTTTCACTAGACTTCTGAAGGAATTTAAGGCACATTGCTATCGGGGAAGCTTACTCATTTACCACCTAATTAATAAGTAGGCATTGGGTAGAATGTGGTCCTGGATGGGGCAGAGGCCACGTGGAAGACAAATCGCCCAGGGCTGTTGGGTACCCACCTTACCCCAAAGTGGCAGTTTAGAATAAGGCAGTTTGGGTTCATCTCCCCTTTCTGATGCTACCTAGGGGACATTGAATGAGGTCTTTCTAAGGCTCGAGTTCTTAACTTGTGGGTCCATGAATTCGATTTTTTATTTTGTTTTGTTTAGATTCTGATTGATTTTAAAACGTGATTCTGAGAAGACATTCAAAGGCTTTGCCAACCTTCCAAACATGTTGGGAGCTCCTTCTCTAAGATGTCTTGAGTTCTACAACAGGGTTGCTCAAACTTCCTTGGACTCAGTTCTTTTCTCTTGTTTCCAGGGTACCATACTGATGACCAACTTGACTGGCTTGCACAGGGACCCCAAGGAGTGGGCTACCCCAGAAACCTTCAACCCGGAACATTTTCTAGAGAACGGTCAATTTAAGAAGAGAGAATCCTTTCTGCCTTTCTCAATGGGTAAGCCACACTCAGTAGGAAGGAGGCCCTAGGCCAGGAGGCACCAACTTTTTTAACATTAAGAAATTTTGCAGACTCTACTCCCTAAAACCCACAATCATGTGATGGAGCATATACTCCTAATATTCATTGATTGGGAAAATACATTACCACAAAATTTAAAATACAAGACCTTTACATAGGTTTTTAAAGTCTGCAATAAAGATAACCTCCCTTTGGAGTTTCACAGGCATCCCATGAGGTAGGTAATACAAGTGCCCATTTCACAGATGAAGAAACTAAAACTCACAGATTTTAAGTGATCTGTCCACAGTTACAGTTTTGAAGTCACCCAGATGTAATCACCCCCAGGTCCCTGCATTCTGTCCACTATGCCTCCCAGATGCCAAGGTGTAATGGGCTCAGCAAATCTCTCAAGTGCATTTGTATTCTATTCACCACAAGAGCACCTACAACTACGTGAAAATAATACCTACAAGCTAATCTGCAAGGGACATGGCATATGTCTGACCCCGGGCTGTCTATGGAAACAGGAATAGCTGTTTTGCATTTTTTTAGACAATTGTGGTTAAGTGACTTGCCCAGGGTCACACGGCTAGTAAGTGTCAAGTGTTTGGTCTGAGGATGGATTTGAACTCAGGTCCTCTTGACTTCAGGGCTGGTGCTCTATCCACCGTGCCACCTAGCTGCCCCTTGTTTTGCATTCTTTAAAGAACAGCTATGTGGTTCAAGTGAGGAAAGTTTCATCCTCAGGTCTGGTTTTGCCTGATGGTTTTACAGATCATTTGCTAGGACCCCAGAATTAGCCACCACCCATTAGCTCTGGTACTCCCCATCTGGGTATCCTTGGATACTTAAAGATCCTGGGCCTCATTTTCCTCATCTATCAAATGATGGGTTTAGACTAGATGACCAATAAGGTTCCTTCCAGCTCTGAAGCCATGACCCAAGAATCCCAGGATTTCAAAGCTAGAGGATCTGAGTTTTAATTATGCCTCTTCTTAGTTGTGTGACTTTCAGTGACTCAGATGCTCTCTGGGGCTGTTTCTTTAATGTCTAATAAATAAAGGGTTGGAGTAAGTGGCCTGGAAAGTCTCCTACACCCTCAAATCTGTGATATCCTGATCCTAAGTAAATACAAAGAATTTCAGTATGGAGAAAGTCCTTACAACTGGAGGTAGCCTCTGAGCTGAACCTTGAAAGAAGTTGGGGGCTCTAATGGGCAGGAGGGAGGAGAAGGTGCCAACTAATCTGGGGCAGCAGCCTGTGCTGTGCAAAGGGATGAAGGTGGGAACAACAAGGTCCTACCAAGCTGGGCGGCCTCATTTGTCCTTCTTGGAGGTGGCATGCTCACTTGTCAGGCTTATCAGTTGGGGGTGTCCTTCCTCCAGCGGCCATGCTAGATGACTCCTGAGACATCAAATTATGTTTATTTCCTTCACTTACAAACTTACATCTATAAAAAATTATTTTAAAAAATTATCAAAATATCAAACTTATTTAAAAATTAATAAATTCAAAATGAAGAATGTCATTTAAGAAATTTTTAAAAATTTAATTGGTCTCATTTTTGAATCATTAAAATGTATTTATGTTTTATTAAAAGTAATAGATATATAATTTATATAGTGTTTACAGTTTCCAAAGTGTTACTGTCCCTACAATTTCTAAAATGTTATCATTCCTACGGGGTCTACTTCTCATCATCTCTCACCTGGACCCCTGAAAGAGGCTCCCACATGATCTCCTTGTTTCACATCACTCCCCAAACCAATCCATCCTCCACCCAGATGCCACAATGAATTTCCTCAAGTGTAAGTCTGACCATATTATACCCTGACCTCACCTCTGCTCAGGGAGCTCCTAGGCTTCCCTGTTGCCTCTAAGATCAAATATGAACTGCCCTGAGATTGACTGCTCCTCATAATCTGGTCTTATCCTACCTTTACCCTCCACTAACTATTTCTGGGTGCTATTCTGCCCACACCACTCTTATCTTTTGATTCCATGCCTTGGCACTGGCTGTCCTCCAGCTCCCTCCTCACTTTTACCTATCAGGATATCTGGCTTCCTTCAACATCCAGGTCCAATACCACTTTCTCCAGGATGCCCTTCGTGGTCCCACTTCTCTGTGTGTATTTCACATATACCTATTTATAAACATGATTCTCTTTCTCATTAGAATGTAAGCTCCTTTAGCACCAGAATCATTTCTGCTTTTTCCTTTTATCTCCAACACTTAGCTCAGTGCCTGGCATATAGTAAGCGCTGAATAGAAACCTAGGCAGGTAGGTGATACAATGGGTAGAGTGCTGGGCTTGAAATTAGGGAGACCTGAGTTCAAATTTGGCCTCAGACACTTATTAGCTGGACAAGTCATTTAAGCACTGTTTGCTTAATCTATAAAATGGGTAGAATGGTAGCACTTACATCCCAGAGTTGTTTTGAGAATTATATCAGATGATATTTTAAAGAACTTTGCCCACTTCAAAGAGTTTCATAAGTGTTAGCTATTATTATTATTACAAAAGGTTTGTTCAATGAATTAATTAGTTCACCTGACTGTGATAATGCTTGTACTAGAGTACTTTGTAAACCTGAAATCGTTAGATATAAGTCATCTCTTGTTATTCTGGAAAGTGTTGTGTCTATTATTTAAAGGGGGAGAGAAGGACATGATCATATCACTTAACTTCCCTGAGACTTAGTTCCCAAATCTGTAAAATACAGAGCTGGACCAGAAGGTTTTCTGAGGTCCCTTGGAACTCTCAGTCTCTGATCTTCTGATTCTCCTGGCTCCAATTCCTGCCCACTCTCCATTTGGATATAAGTATACATCATTTATTTTCTTGCATATTTCAAAAAGAAGGTGGAAAGAGGGGAACTACTTGACTGGCATTTCTCAGATAAACAATAACAAACTAAGGGCTGATACCTCAGGGGCATTGAAAAGTCCCAGGATCATTCAGTTAACCCATTATTTGTTTCTGTGATACCAAACAGCTGGTTTGACCAGGTCTTGTCATGGCATTGAGGTTGTTGGCACACAGCCTAAGTCTCCTCATGGCTGGAATGTCCCCTTCTCCCGTCACAAATAACATGAACTTCCTAAGAACAGCTCCCGGGAGAAAGGAATACTGACGGCTCCTTCATGCCTTTGGGAAAGGTGACCAGGCGTGCACTTAGTATCCAAACTAATCAAGGCTGGTTACCCAGCTAATGGGGTCTGTTCAGTTCTACCTCTTTTCTTTCTAAACCTCCTCCTTCAGGAAAGTTGATAGTTTCAAGTCAAGCTGTTTCTGAGACAATAACCCACTGCCCATCATAGTATTTCCTCCTTGCTAGGACCTGCCAGAGACAGGTCAGAACTTTCTCTCTTTCCTCAAGTCTTAGAGAGTGGGTTCGAGCCCCGAGTGCCTGTGACTTGCCAAATATCACCCAACTAGTGTGAGAAGCAAGACCCAAGATGAGCTTTCTGAATCTAGGATCAGAGGTGGTTTTTTGTTTGTTTGTTTTGTTTTTGTTTTTGTTTTTGTTTTTGATGCTGATGAGAGCAGAGTGATATTGTAAGGCTAACAAAGGCCTGACATGCATTATCCCATTCAGCCTTCACAGCACCCCAGTGAGGCACATACCAATATTGTTTGCATTTGACAGATAACAATATTGTCAATATTAATTATAGTCATAGTCATAGTAGTAGTAGTAGTACTAGTAGTAGTAGTATTACTACTACTACTACTGCTACTACTACTACCGGGTACTTATAAAGTCCTTTAAAGTTTGTAAAGCCCTTTACATCTTTCTGTTGTAAGCTAGTTGCTATTTTTATCCCCATTTTACACATGAGGAAACTGAGGTTGAGAACAGTTAGGTGACTTGCCCAGGGTCACACTGCTTCTAAGTGTCAGGGTTATGATTTGAACTGAGTTCTTCCTGACCCCAGTTCCTACACTTTCTCCAGTACACCTGCCTGGTTTATATTCAGAGAATGACTTTGTTTTTGCTAAGGTTACACAGAAGCAGGATCTTAGACCCAGACCTAGAAGGGCCCTTGGAGGCCACATCATCCAGCTCCATCATTTCACAGATGAGGAAACTTGGGCCCACCCAGGTTAAGTGACTTGTCCAAAGCCACCCTGCTGAGGGGCATCCAAGGTGGGATCTGAACTCAGATCCTCTGCCTACAGATGGAGTATTTCACCTGTTGGAAGTCTCTGAGGTTGGCAGCAGCATGGCATGGTAGATGTGGTGTCTGAAGCAAGGAAGATGGGCTCAAATGCCATCTCTGTTATTAGCATTGTGGCTGTGGACAAGTCACTGAATAGCCTTAATACCCATCTCAGTGCTAGGATTCAGAGCAGTACCTGGAGACCCCAACCCTGACCCACTGCCAGTGCTGAACATTAGAGATTTACTGCTTTTGTTCTCCTTGCCTTTCAGGAAAGAGGGTGTGCCTGGGAGAACTGCTGGCTCGGACTGAGCTCTTCCTTTTCTTCACTTGCCTGCTCCAGAAATTCACGTTCCAGGCTCCCCCAAACACCCAGCTGAGCCAGGACTTCAGATATGGCTTAACCCTCTCTCCCGTCTCCTACAAAATCTGTGCCCTTCCTCGAGCGATGTAGGCCAAACTAGGCCTGTAGGATGGTCTTCCAAGGGGGAGGGGAAAGGACCTGGAGCCATCCTCATCCTCCGAGGTTACCTTTTGCTGTTTGGGTGGGGAAAGGGAAAGAAATCAAGAAGAGAAGAAAAGAGAGAGACAAAGGGAGGGTATCTGTGGCCCAATTTGAAACTTCCTGCTCACAAGGAGAGACATTAATGCCATCAAAAGGAAAGTAGAAAGAGTCCTTACTAGATTTGGAATCCAAGGACCTGAGTTCAAATCCCAGCCCTGCTAATTACTAGCTGGGTGACCTTGAGCTAGTCACTTGAACTTCTGCCTCCGTTTCCACATCTAAAATGAGGAAGAGGAAGGTCTTTAAGGTCCCCTCCAATTCTAAATCTAAAACCTTGTATTGCTATGAACAGAGAATCAATGCTTTTCCTCCCCTGCTTTAGGGCCAGAGGGTTTGTTTTTGTTTAGTTATTTGTATCTGTCCTGCTCTTATAAATCATACAGTGGGTGTGATTTTAGGAGAGGCTTTAGAGAGTTTACATGGGTTACGGGAGGCATTAACAGGTTAAAGAGGGTGATCCTTAGAGATCCTTAGAGATTGTAAGCTCCTTGTGCGCAGAGACGGTTTTCTTTGTTTCTGGATCTACAGCATCCAGCCCAGTGCCGGCATGGAGAAAGAACCCAATAAATATCAGGATTGTTTCATCTCTAAACCATTCACTTTCATATGCATTATTTCCTTTGACTTTCACAGTGTGAAATCTTAATCTGACAGCTGATGAGCTGGATTCCTCAATCCTAATAAAAGTCTTATCATAGGTGATAAATCATAATCACTCCACTATTAATTAGAGTCACTAACATAATCATATATGAACATATAATTAATTATTATAGGAGCTAGGTATTCCCACACATTGAGCATTGCTAATCTGTTAAAGTTCCATATTCCTGTAAAGGTTCCTTCTTCTTTTCAGAGATCCTTACACAAGGTAGCTTTCCATGTGGATAATGGAAACTTTTGTAATACCCCAGCCAATCAGAAAGTGCAAATGCCCATGTGAATCAATGTGATCAATGTTCCTCATTTATTGTTTATGCTCCCTTTTCTATTCTTCCTCCATTATACCTGTAAAAATGCTCTGTGGGTTCACAATGATGTCCTTGTACCAAATGAGGTGGTCTCAGACCCATTTTATTGGCAAATTGCAACACATTGCTAATAAAGCAATTGTGCTTGGACTTCATTTGCTTCCATTTCTCTTATTTGCAGATTCTAATCATGGCAACAACAACCCTCTATAGTGAGTTGGGGTAGCCCCAGTTTACAGAAGGGGAAATGAAAAAGAGTTTACTAAATCAAAGCCTAAAAATTAAAAAAAAAAAAAACACATTCCCCAAGAAAAGGGATGGTCATAACCATCTCTGCCAGTCTTTAGAGGCAGAACCAACAATTCAAGTCCAAAGTGACTTCATATTTCTCTGAATATCTTTTCAATTCATTTCATTTAGGTTCAGTGAATTGAGTTCAATCCTAGAAGCGTTAAGCACCTACTATGTACCAGATACTACGAGAGCTGCTGGGACTAGAGCATCAAAATCAGAAATGAAAAATGGTCCATAGTGTTGGTTGTTTGTATCACTCTCTAGGCAGTAGCCTACAAAGTGAAGTCTGTGTCTCCTAAGGGCTTCCCAATATCATCATTTGGGACACAGAAAGTAGATATTGGGACTTTCATCTAGCTTTATTTTTACTTAAATTTTAAAAAGGAGGTAAGTTTTCCAATATTTAATATGAGTTGATCCTGAGAGGTAACCTCCTCCCTTGGTAAACAAGTCATGCTTAAGGAGGAGCTGGCATCACACAATACAGAGGGTGTTGATAGTCAAGCTATCACAGGTTCATTTTCTTTAGGTATTATTCATTTTCTCTACAAGTCAAACATTTATTGGGCACCTACTATGTGCATTAGCACCTACTACTGTGCTAAGTGCTATCAAAAATTCCCCTGAACTTGTCTTTTTGAGTTGCCATATTTTCCAGTAACGCTGGACTCAGAGCATACAGGAGACCCTGAACATGACAAAGATGAAGCCCCCTTGGAGTCAAAGAGTTTATTGTACCCAAATACATGCATACATACATATATGTTAATACACACATATATATGTATATATATATGTGTGTATGTACATATATGTGTGTGTGTGTATTTGCATAAAATAAGATCCTTAAATAATCAATTTCCAGAGGGGAGTCATTTATGGAATATTTGTGTTACATCAATGAAAAAGTCCATTTTTATTTGGACTTCGAACTTAGTATCAAAATAATATCTGACCATAATGCACGTCTTGTGGTACAAACATGTTGTGAAGAACTTATTTAATATGCACTGTTTTGAAACTGATTACTTAACTGTTATGCTATGTCTTTTGCTATAATTAAAGTTAACTTGGTATCTTTAATGTAAATTCATTTGTGTATCATAGGTCATCTTATAAAAAGTATTCTATAGCCTATGTTTTTATTGAGGCTTAAAATCCTTATATGTCACTATTCTTTCTGTGGCTGGAGGGATGGGAGTGGAATTGAGTGATTTAACTGAATCAGAATTAATTTAAATTATGTAACATTTAAATATGGAATTCCAAAATAATAATTGGTAAAAAAAATTGTAATGTAAAAAATTTGTAAATATTTTGAGAAAACAATAAGATAAATTTTTATGTAATTTGAAAAGCTTTGAGAGTTCTTGCCTTCTGAGGTATTTAAAATGCTTAGTGTGTATTTGGATTTCTTTCATTTATCAATGTAACAGGCCTTTGGGTTGTTGTTAACCATGTTTATGTCAGGCAGAGTCACCTTGTACCCAGGCCTCTGAACCAGGTGCAGATACTCCTTCCACCATGCCAGGCTACCACTGCAGAGCTCCAGGACTGTACTTTAAGCCCAACCCCTGAGATTCCAGAAAGGCACACAGCTGGATGGGGGTATATTATTGTTGCATCCCAACATTAAGCTCTCGGTAACCAAGGGTTAGGATGATAAGGACACTATTCCTCTCCTCCAGTTGTACCAGGTGGGTCTCAAAGTCCAGCTGCCTCTAATGCTGAGAAGCCCCACGATTGGCTATTGAGCCCTCATCCCATCTCACCCCACTCAGCTGCTAAGAGGAGTGGAGATGACCTCAGGCAGCCAGGGAAGGTTTTACCCTTCCTGGCTCAGGCTGGATTTGGTTTGGTTCCAGACGCCCTTTTGTTCTTCTCTGAAAAGCTCAAAGTTTTTGGTTCTCCCCTTTCCCCCCCCCCCCCTTTTTTTTTTTTTTTTTTTTTTTTTTTTGGAAATAGAGGGAAATTTAAAGTAGACAAAGAGAAAAGCTTTAAGCCGAGGGGCCAGTCCCCAGGGCTTGGGTTGTCTCACTAATGGCTTCATATGCAGCCTATTCATTCAAGCAGTCACTTCCTATTGGCAGAAGACTCATTGCATTGTCCAAAGACAGAATCATGGACACAGAGCCCCAGAGGTCCCAGGACTTAGCACAGGCCTCCCCATGGAACTTAATAAATGCTTATTAAATTGAATTAAGGTCATCTAGTCCAACCCAAAACAGAAAATCAGTCTCCACAATTAGCTTTTAATAAATATTTGCTGACTGACTGACTCCCCAACATGCCGAAGAAGTGGTCATCCAGCTTCTGATGGCAGATGGGAATTTAAAAATACATTGCAGGAGTGCTTAGCATAGTGCCCGGTGCATAGTAGGGGCTACAATAAATGTTCATTGTATTTAATTGCTGGTCCAAGAAAATTTTTTGTGTCAGTTGTCATGCCTAATCCTTCTAGTCTCTTTTAAGCCTGCAGTGCTGGAGAACTCACCACTTCCTGAAGGAGTCCTTTCCAATTTTGGATAGTACTGCCTCTAACTCTACAATTTAGAGAGCAACAAGGATGGTGAAGGGCCTTGAGGCCACATCGTATGAGGACTGGATGAAGGAACTAGAGATGTTTAGGATGGAGAAGAGAAGATTTGATGGGCATATGATAGGATTGCCATACAAAGAAGGGGTCAGACATATTCTCTTTGACCCCAGAAGCCAGAACCAGGAGCAAAGAATGGAAACAAAGCAAGGAAGGCAATTAAGGCTGAATGTCTGGAAAAAAGATCCTAGCCATGAGGGCTTTCCTCACATGCAATGGGCTCCCCCTTCTTGGAGACCTTCAATCATAGGCTGGTGATCCCTTTTGTCAAATATCTTATAGCCAGGAATCTCTTCTCTAAATAGGCTGGACTAAATGGCCACTCAGCTTATGCATTTCTGTAACTCCTGCCTGTTGTTCCTAGTCTTAACAGCCGGGACTGCACAGAAAACATCTAATTCTTTGCTTTGTGACAGCCCTTAAAATATTCATCTGGTTATCAAGGACCCTGATAAGCTTCAGCTCCATCAATGGATCCTTATATGGCAAAGCATCGAGTCACCTCGTCCTCACGGACACCTTTATCAACATCCTTCCTAAAATGTGGCGTCCAGAACTGAACCCAATACTCCAGACAGGGTCTACCTGGGCAAAGGAAAGCAGGACAGGTCACATCCATTGTTCTGAACACAAATTCTTGTTGATGTTGCCACTATCCCTGTGTAGGAGTTCTTAAAGACCTAACATCTGTGAATTTTATTTTACTTTGACAGCTGAATTTCAATAAAATTGGCTTCTTTTGCATTAATAAAAACAATGTTCTGAGAAGAGAACCATTGGCTTCACCAGACTTCCAAAGCAGTTAGAATGGGTTGACTGATGGGCCTCAGATAAGGTGAGCCCCTGGATAGAGGATGATAAGGCTCTGAACTGCCTATGTCAGAAAGTCAACAAGTGTTTATTGTGTACCCCCTATATGCCAGGCACTGTACTAAGAGGTGAGCATACAAAGAAAGACAAAGGCAGTCCCCAGATTCAAGAAGCTCACAAGGTATAGTGCAAGGTATAGACAGGGTGAATTGCTGGTAATCCTAAAGAGAAGGCCCCAGGATGGCTAGGAAAGGCCTGCTGTAGAAGGTAGGATTTGAGCCATTTCCTGACTCCTTGCCTAGAATGCTCTGGCTCCCTATTTCCAGCTTCCATTCAGGATTCAGCTCAACTCTATCTTCTTCAAGAGGCCCTTTCTAATCCTCCCAGTCACTACTGCTTCCTCCTTTCAGATCAACTTCACATTCTCTGCATATTTCTTGGATGGACTCATGTATAAGCACACTGTCTCCCCCATTAGAATGTACCATCCTTGAAGGCAGAGACTATTTTTTGCTTTTTATAGCTCCAGCATTTAGCACAGTGCTTGGCATATAGTGAGGGCTTTATGCTTAAGTGCTTATTAACCAACTGAAAAAAGCCAGGGAATCGAAAAGTTAGAAGGAAAGAAGAACATACCAGGCATGAGGGACAGCCAGTGCAAAGGCTTAAAGGTGGGAGATCTCAGAGTTAGAAGGAATCTTCACCCAGAATGAAATAAGAATCTCCTTTACAACCAATCCAGTGGCTTCTGTGTGAACTGTATATACATGTATCTATATCTATATGCATGTCTGTGTATATACATGAATATAGATATAGATACAGACAGATATATGTACACAGATATATCCATGTATGATTGTGTATTGAGATTAAAATTGCTTCTGTACCATTTTGTATTGGTCCTATTTATAATTAATTGGTTTTGCCCTGTAACTGCCTAAGTCACAGTCATTCATCTGAACTTAGTGCAGAAATTCAACTGGCTTATGAGTTAAACTCTCCTGCCAATCATGGTTCTATTCTTGCCTAAAGGAAATGTTATCCTTTGGGGATGTGAGTAGACACCAGGGAGTCTGGTCTAGTGTCTTTACACCACCAAGAGATACTTCAAGGATCTCTTTTGCTATTCCAAGAAATCTGGGCACTATCTCTAACTGAGCAGGAGACTCAAACAATGAACATTTCTTAGTCACAGGAAAGAAGAAGGAGGTTGTTTCTAGCCCCTCATTCCTGACTTCATATTGTTTCCCACACCTCAGTTATGTAACCAATCATGTTGTCTTCAACCCCATGATATCATCAACCAGTTGTATTATTTCCCTACCTACCCTGTTCCATTCTTTGTTCTAATCTCATAAAAAGGAACTCGGTACCCATCTCAGGGTCTTTGGCTCACTGAAGCAGTCATTGACCTGATTTATTAACAGGCAGCTCCCCTGTTAATAAACTATTATCTTGCTCACAGAAAAAATCTACCTTCGTTGAATTTCACTTATGACAGTATACAATATGTATATAATTTGTATATATGTATACATACATGTACATATATATATATATAATTTATGTACCATATTATATATCATTCACATTTATTGAATACCTACTGTGTGCCAGCACTGTGCTAGGTGCTGGGGATATAAAGAAAAGAAAAAGCCAGTCTCTGCTCCCAAGGAGCTCCCTTCCTAATGAAGGATACAACATGGAAACAACTGTGGATATACAAGCTATATACCACACATATATAAATATGTAATATGTTATATATGTATACAAACATATATAGTCACATAATATGTGTGTGCCCATATATATTATTATATAATATGCAGTATATATGTACTTATACACACACAGAAAAGGGGGAGACAGAGACAGAAAGAAGACATAAAGACAGAGAGAGGGAGGAGACAGTGCGAGAGGGAGAGGGAGAGATTTCAACATCAGCTACAAAAAGAAACAAAAATCTGAGTTTTGGTACATTTATCCCTATTACCATTCAGTTCAATTCAATACATTTATTAAAAACCCACTATGTACCGACCATTGTGCTAGGACCTAAGGATAGAAATACACAAGGAGAGATTCCCTGCTCTCAAAAGGTTGTCATTTGTGTGGTTCAGAGAAAAGAGTACTGACTCTGGAGTCTTAGGACCTGGGTTCAAATTCAACCTCTGATACTTATAACCTGTGTGACTGTGGGCTACTCACTTAATTTTTTTTGTTTGTTTTTTGGTGAGGCAATTGGGGTTAAGTGACTTGCCCAGGGTCACATAGCTAGTAAGTGTTATGTGTCTGAGGCCAGATTTGAACTCAGATCCTCCTGACTCCAAGGCCAGAGCT